CCACTAAGCAACCCAGGAACAAATGGATATTAGGAGTTTCTGAAGACCAAAATGGTGCTAGAAGAGATGGATGAATGAAAGCGGGAAGAGACACTTGTATCTGTGTCTATAGGCTCTTGGTTCCTCTTTTTCCCTTTGGAAGCACCAGAGTGTCAGTCCACACAGTACCAGTGAGGTTTTTTTTTTTTTTTTTTTTTTTTTTAAGATTTATTTATACATGCACTGGGTACAGTCAGAAGCGCTGGAGGGTGAGAGAACTCACCAGAGCCAGAGCGGGGAGCAGAGCAGGCAGAAGGACCGAAGTACACTGCTGAGGGGAGCAGCAGGCGGCAGGAGAGGTCTGCGCGCCATGTGGGACCCTCCTTCGGTGGCTGAGGAGCAGCCGGGGATCGAACCGGCGCTGCAGAGGCTTTGGACAGCTTCGCAACCCAGCGCTCAACCGCTGCACCACTGGGCAAGGACCACTGAAGTCGGGTTGAGGAACCACAAAGTAATTCTGAAAGTTTATAGACTAGACAGAACAAAGCTTTCCTTTAAACAGACATCAATTCATTCTTTCACACAATGAACATTTATGTATGTGTCTATGAGTGTCCATGAGAGGCCAGGCATGTAAAGATGAATAGGACACGGTTCTTCCTTCAAGGACTGCATTGTCTATTGGGGAAGAGAGATACGTTAATGAGCTATGGGAGCACAGCAGGGTAATATATATTTCCGCTGCTCTTAGATGCCTCCTGAATAATGAACACATCGTGAGCACATGCTGTCATCTGATCACTCATTAATCACTCTACTTTGATTTCACTTTGTTTTTTTTTTTAGATTTATTTATTTATTCATACAAGAGCTGGGGTACAGGCCAGAGCTGTGGGGGTGAGAGGACTCACCAGATACAGAGTGGGGAACAGAACAGGCAGACTGATGAAATACACTGCTGAGGGGAGTAGCGGGTGAGACAGGGGAGGTCTGCTGTGCCATGTGGGTAGCTCCCTGGCCGGGGGTTGAACTCATGCTGGAGAGGCTGGATTTCTTCATGGTGCAGTGCTTAACCCCTTATGCCACCAGGGAGGCCCTGATTTCACTGTGAACAGTGACCTATTCCTTATTGGAAGTCTAGTGAGAATGTTAAATCTAGGTGTCCCCAGCCCTTTACTCATCAACAAACAGCCACCTGACCCAAGCGGGAATAAAGTTCACTTACTTGAATTGGGATGTTGAAGAGAGTACAGAAAGATAGGAAAAAATTCCCTAGAAAGAACAAGTGATCATTAATACTGGGGTAGGGCACTGACAACACTGTTCAAGGGCTCCAAGACTTATCATTTCCCCACCCTTGCTAATTTCTATCAATTTCTGAGTCTTCTGGTCTACCCTGAGAGCTCACAGAAACTCTCCTAGAAATTCCCACAGTTACACAATGAAATATGCCTCTTCCTGAGATATGGGGGCAAGACAGAGGCTTTTGTAGCAAGCCAGGTAAGAGATGGCAAGACAATGAACTTCATGGCTAGAGAGATGGAGAAGAGAGGATGCGTTTCAGAATCAGAAGAAAAACTTGGTGACTGCAGGATGCGGAAAGCTGGGGATATGAACAGCAAGATGAGGAGTTTTTCAGTTAAACCAAACAGGACAGCTCTTCCCACCTCTTTCCTGTTGGTCAGGAGGCTGTGTTCTGTCTTGGCAGCTTTCAACTTGCCAGGGCTGCCTCCTTCCCTCTTCATGCTCCCAGCCTGGGATGAACACATCACTTCCTCTTAAAAAAAAATCATCTCCATTATCAAGTAAACTTGGCAGGGATACCAAATTCCTCTTTTCAACGTGTCTCCTAGGCCCCAGGGGTACAAGTTCAAGTAGATTCTTGGAAATAGTCCTGAACAGCACATAGCACTCCAACATCAACAAGCAAACTCTAATGATGACTGTGTGTCACAAGGATACTTAGTAAATTTGTGATCCCATTTAGATTATCACCTACATGACCCACGCAGTTCACACAGCCTCATCACGCCTCCCCCATAGGGGTTCCCAAGGTGCTCTGTGCCCTCAGCTCTGTTACAGTGGGAAGGTGCTGTGCTCATGTGGAAAGAATCCAACAGTACTTGGGTGTGAAGGCCTTGGTAGACTGTGCTCTCTGCACCTAAGGGGCACACAGAGCAAGCAGCCACCTCTCTGAGTCAGTGCCCACTCAGCCCGCCTGTCCTTTGTACCGTGGTGTCTTTTGAACTGATAAATATAGTAACACTCATAGCTTACAATCTCTTATCTGGAGGAAAATAAGTCAATAGGAAAGTTGTGCAAGATGCTGAACAAACATCTACAAAAACCAAGGGCTCCACCCTCCCTGGAAAGCCACGAAGCCTTGGATTTGGGGGGTTTTGAGATGGAAAAGATGCGTTGATGATAGCTCTGGTTGTGGCTTTCTCTAGTTTCTTTTATTAGAAGATATCTTGGAAGCTGAATATCTTTTTAAAAATGATAACATTTAACAAACACATTAGTGGTATTTGGAATATCACTTGATTTCCTTGGCAGTCTTCAGAAATATAAATGAAAAAGAATTGGTGTATTCTAGTAGCTGTGGAATGCCCACATTTTCAAAACCATGTTATTGAATGGCACCCATACTTAAGGATATCCAAGTAAATAATATGCTACAGACACTCATATTATGTAGGAAACCTTGACGGATGGTAGCAGGAAAAGAAACAAAAACATCTCACAATTTATGCTCCAAGGCAATTTTTGCCAGATGATTAGATGATTGTATTTGTTACAGATTGGTCACCTGTATTTCATTGCAAATACATTTTCTTCATTTTCTTTGCCAACAAAGCACACTTGATAGAAATGCCTCAAAATCCATTTATACTGCTTCACCAGTTTTACGCATTTTAATTTTAAGGAAACAACAATTAGGATATTTTCAATGATGAAAAGAACTCCATTAAACTGCCACAAATGTCAAAAGTTCCTGGCTATGCTAACACTTATGTAATTGTTCTGGAAACCCTACGCGCCGGAATAGACCTACATCATGACTCACTGAATATTTCTATGCACATACTCTCTCTAAAATGCTTTCCAGTTGGGATTTATTTTTTCAAAGGGAAAAAAGACAAAATATGGCTCATCAAATCCAAAAGTTCTTTCTGTAATTTTGGGGAAAGTACTGCTTCATATGGGAGCATTAAAAGATGCTGCTGTTTTCATTAATACAGCAGACAGATGGGCCAGCATTAAAACAGGTTGAAACTCTGAAATCCTTCCTGGAAAAAAAAAAAAAAAAAGCAGAGAATGTGGGGGATTCTTGAATTTCCAAATGGTCCTTATTTCCTCTTGTGACTATCCCCAAATTGTTTTTTAAAAGTTGTGGCTGGTAGCATATGATGAGTGTCCTCATATCCCGAGCAATGTCAAGGAAAATGGTACAAGCTATAAAAATGCCAATGGGTACAGGCAAGTTTGGGCTCGAGGCTCCCTGGGAGCAAACACTCATGTAGATTTTATTGGATGTGCAAGTGCTAAGAGTGCAAGCACCGCTAGGGAATTTACTAGCGCCCTGGGCATAACCTGTATGCCAGAAAGCAGAAGTTTAGTGCTACTTTTCATCACAAGCTTTTGCCGTTTTCATTAGCAATGTCACAGTGGAGCTAGGAATTCACCAAGTTGGCGAGCCAAGCAGGATGGGCCCAGGTAACGGTTCTGGGGGCAGTTTCACCAGGCCTTTGAAGTGGGATGGAGTAGCAGTTTGTTTCAGCTGTCATGGGGCCTTCAGCCACATGCCTGCCATTAAGACTTTCAATAACAGGTTATCGGTCTGTGTGTCACCTGAGCGGGGTGGAGAGGTGAAATCTGGCAGGTGACAACCCTCCATGGGCCAAGCAACCCAGGGCCAGGGATGTGGCTCTGAGAAGGCGCCAGCTCGGGGAGAGACTGATGACAAAAGGCAAAATCCCAGTCTTAGGGGAACTCAGCAGCAATATGTGGAGGAAGGTACAAGATGGAAGCTCAGTTATTAGAAGTGGAATCCAAGGCAGAGCCTATGACAGAAATAAGTTGGAAACCTCAGGTGGAAATGGAGCAGGAGCTCAGAACAGGCCCCAGAGCCCCGCTAAGCAGAGATTGAGCAGTGAGTTCTATTTCCTATAAGAGAAGACGTGGGCTCCCACCTGGGGTAGGGCTGAGCTGCACGTGGGACCCCGTGGTCCCCCTGAGGATCAAGCCTGAATTTGGGGGAAGTCCTCATTGCTCCCAGCCCTGGGTTTTTCCCTCACAACATTGTACCTTTTTGCAAGCTGTTCCTGTTACCTGGAATTCCCAATCTCAGTCTCCTGGGCTGCTCATTCTTCAGGGTCTAGTTCAAAAGCCTCTCTGTGAAGCCTTTCCTGACTCCTGACACTGCAACTTATCTTGTCCTATTTTCATTTCCATGTCTCTCCCTGGTTAGTCTACAAAATCTTCTTGCCAAAAAGACCCTGACATCTCAGGCACTTTGCTTAGTACCAGCTTAGCATAAGATCTCAAAAAATATTTGATGATAGGGGGCCTCCCTGGTGGTGCAAGGGGTTAAGCACTGCACTATGAAGCAATCCGCAGTCTTTGCAGCACGAGTTCTATCCCCAGCTGGTCAGGGAGCAACTCACATGGCGTAGCAGACCTCTCTGTCTCGCCCATTGCTCCCCTCAGCAGTGTATTTCAGTCAGTCTGCCTGTTCTGTTCCCCACTCTGTCTCTGGTGAATCCTCTCACCCCCCACACCTCTGGCCTGTACCCCAGCTCTTGTATGCATAAATAAATAAATCTTAAAAAAAATATTTGGTGATAAATGAATGACTGGAGTGACTGAACATCTCAGTTCACTGAAATGAATGAACACGTGTTTACTAAATGAAAAATCGATCACTAAATAGGTTAATGAATGAAGTAAGTTAACAATTCCACACAGTAACAAGGAACACAAAAAAATAAGCAGGTGTATGCACTGCCAACTGTCCTGGGTTCAATTCTTTACATAGATAATTTTATTTCATCTTCACAATAACCCAAGATGTAAGTGCTGTTATAACACCCATTTTACCGTGGGGAATATAGAGGCAGCCTGCTAGAGACGGTAAGAACTCCATCTGATCTGGCGTCTCAACTCCAATATCCTTTGCTTCCTGGGTCCATCACTTGCCACTGGGTATGTGGTAGCTGTTAGAGGTGGAGAGAGGAGGTTTCATCAGGTGTTTCTTGTTTCTCTGCTTTCATCCTTCTCCCCAAGTCTCATATTAGAGAAGACAGTCCTGAGCCACATCCCATATGATATCTGCCCCTTCCTTCCCTAGAGGCTGAGAATGTATGTACTGGAATATGCCAGAGTTGCTCTCCCCAACACCTGTTCTCTGTTCTTTACCTTGTCAGTCGTAAAGTATAGGCTGTGACAGAAATTGAGTGAAATAAATTATCATTGGCACCTGATATTTGCATATCTGCCTCATTCCATGGACCACACAAAGCACTTAACATACATTATCCTCTTCAGTGCTCACCCCACCCTGTGAGGAAGGTGTCCTTATCCCCAACATACATATAAGGTGACCGAGACCCCAAAGACTTACTAATTTGCCCAGTGTCTAATATGATAAGCACTTTCTCTTGGACTTGCTCGTCCCCTTCCCACGAAGCATGTTGCCACCAATACATTTTAGTGTCAGGGACGAGGCCCATAACCAGCTTTTCTAGCTATTGGTCAGGATCTCCTTTAAAAGTGTGACTCTTTTGGCAGTTTTCTGGTCTGCCGATTAGAAAAAGTCATAAAGATCCTATTCACTGGTGTACAACTAGAGTTAGGAGCCATCTACACGAACTGGCAAGATGAGCAGAGCTGACTGTTGGAAAATTCAGAATCCTTCTCCTGACTTCTGTCCTCCATTCTCTCCTCTTCTGCTCTTTAGCAACTCATGCACTCACGGTTTACACGCAGCCATTTTTGTTGACCTGTTCTTGATGGATGATGATAACCTGTTATGAAATGAGGCACTGGCAGGAGAGAGAAGGGCCCCAGAGTCTGTGTCAGTGTTTGCATTGTGAAATTCCAGACTGTTTAATCTGCTCTACCTCATCCCCCAAACTCCAGATTCCATTTTCTTAATGACTTTTCCCTCCTGAAATGCCCACATAGTTATCTTTGAAGGAGAAGTAAAAGAATAGATGAATCATTTGCAGGAAACGGGGGTGGGCTTGGGGGTGGGGGTAGGGGGTGGGGGAGAGACGGGTGGTTGGCATGGCAGATGGCTGAGCGTGTTGGCACAGAGCTGTCTCTATTGCTCCTTCCACCACCCTCTGAAAACAAACCCTTTGGATGTGTACCTTCATTCCAGGGTGGGGGCTGAGCCACTTTCAGGTACTGACATGTAAATCCACATCCACTAGGATTCATCTCAGATCTGAACTCCAGGACAAGCAGGACAATCGGATGAGGCTCGGACTGTCCCATGTATTCTCTTTGAAGTTTTAACATTAGATATTCTAAAGGTGATAAACTGCTCTCAGTTAGTGGCAAGAGAATTTCTCATGCTGTCTCATTTGTCTGGCAGGATAAGTAAAAACATGAACATTTTTATGTAACAGTGCAAGCTCCCTGGCCTCTTAAGGAATTGGCAAATGCCTAGAGGGGAGTTAGGGGGTGGGGGTGGGGTGAGGAGTGACTGCATTCTGATAAAAATATGCAACAGCAGGAAAACACAAATTGTTCTTGGTGGGGCTTTACGTGGTGGTATGGAAAGGGTCTAAAGCTGCTACAATCTTAGGGAGAGTACCCATGAGGAGCTCCCCAAAGTTAGCTTCTGGCTATTTGTATGGATATCACTTGGATAACTGAAACAAGTTTCTAGAATCCCAAGAATTCAAGAGGACACACATTTTCAGTAACAAGGAGTTTTTTTTAGAAGGTTATACTTAAGCCCAGCAGTAACTTCTACATAAAATTTCCAAATGTCATCTAGATGTATACGATAGAATAAGTAATTGTTGCTATGTTATTTTTGGATGTATGAAATCCACTTCATCAACAGGCCTTTTCACTGATTTTTTTTTTCCCTATTTCATCTGTCCCCCTCTTTAGACTCATACCACAGAATCCTGTTGTGAGCACACAAATGTGCAGAATGATAAAAGCTTGTTTTTACAATAGAAAATTTTGTAAAATATGCCTCTAGAAGTTGAAACACAAATAGCACAAATTATTACATATAGCTTGGACTCAAAACATTGTGGTTACAGAGCATTATGATGAACATGCTTTTCAAAATCAACCTTTTTAATAAAAGTCATCTGATTAAGAATGAGTAAACTCTATCCATCATTCAATCTTAATAATCCTAAAATTATTTCAGCAATCAGAAGTCTTAATAGAATTTCCACCCCCATACTTATGATTTGATGACTCCTTTATCTGAAAGTCATTCATCGTAGCTTCACTGAAGCACTGGTTCTTAGACTCTAAAAAGTTTTAACATTATTCTTCATTTTAAAGCATACTCTCAATTCCCCAGTCCCATCTGAGCTCCTATCCCCCGCACCCTGCCCCAACCCCCACCCCAATTTCAGATACTGATTGCACACCATCCTTGGTGGCATGGGGGTGTTGGTGAGACCCCATCACTCCGGTTGTGACAGGAGATTCAGTGGGTCCGGATCTGACCTGGCCAGACTCATGTGCCTTTTGCTTGGTTGCTCTCCTCCCTTCTTCCAGGCAGCTTGGAAGATTTAAGGGACCATAAAAAGATGAGATAAGCTTCTCTAATGGCTCCCTAAAGTAGCAGAGTAACAATCCAGTAGCACAGAGGAGTTCAAATTTGAATCAAGAAACTAGAGGCCATCTGGTTTTTTTCTTTTTCTTTCTGGCTTATTTCGCTGAGCATGATCCCTTCTAGCTCTATCCATGTTGCTGCAAATTGCATGTGTTTATCTTTTTTGAATGCTGAGTAATATTCCATGGTGTATATGTACCACATCTTCTTGATCTAGTCATCTATTTTTAGGTATTTGGGTTGTTTCCATAGCTTAGCTATTGTAAATAGTGCTGCTATAAACATAGGGGTGCAGGCCAAGATGATAACTCACCCCTACTCACCCTTATTGAGTTATTTCAAGGTGACTTACAAGGCCAGTAGCTGACTCATGGCCAGTTCCTTAACATACAGCTGCCTTCCCTTCTTCCCTCACCTTTCTCCCTCACTTTTTTTTTTTAAAGATTTATTTTATTTTTATGCATACAAGAACTGGGGTACAGGCCAGAGGTGTGGGTGTGTGTGTGAGAGGATTCACCAGAGACAGAGTGGGGAACAGAACAGGCAGACTGACTGAAATACACTGCTGAGGGGAGCAGAGGGCGAGACAGGAGAGGTCTGCTGTACCAGGTGGGTATCTCCCTGGCCGGGGATCGAACTTATGCTACAGTGGCTGCGGTTAGCTTCATAGTGTTGCAACTTAACCCTTTGCACCACCAGGGAGGCCCTTTCTCCCTCACCTTTGCCACCCTGGATTGTACCTTCCAACAACAGCCTCTGATTCAGGTTTCATTTTCTAGGTAATTTGTCTAAGTTGATTTTTGAAAATGTGGCCTCTTGCCTATAATTTTATTTTTCTCTTAATAAGAGGGCTGAATGGAGATCTATAATTTGCATTAAGGTTAACTAGAGCAGATCTGTTGAAGCATCTAAGTTAACAATATGGTCCCTTAAATCTCATCTAACTTCCCTGTAAGTAATTTGACCTCACCACAATTATGATTGGATGCCAGCAGTTGTTTTCTCAGATGTTTTCTCTGCCCAGCTTGGTGTGGTGAAGCAGGACCAGAGAGTAGCTTTTCCTACATACATTCTGGAATTTATTTACAAGCCTGCTTCCTGACTTCCATCTTACTCCCTTTGATGCTAACTTCTCCTTCCTTTGTGTTCTTACCTCCCATCTTTGTAGGGAATTCCTGATAAATCCAGTTCAAATTAACCATCAAAATCCTTTGTCCAAAGATAATTCTGTTTTGTGTAAAGTAGGTGTCTTTCATCAGCTACTAAAAAGAATATCAACTGCCAAGAAGGATGTGATTTTTGGGAATTGTAAACAAGATGTAGAAGTAAAGGGACTTACTTTTTCACTTCTCCGTTTAAAGGGCCAGATAAAGATCTTATGGAGGGGTGGGGATGAGAAAAGCATCTAGATATTCGGTGCTATCACTCTCTCCTTTGTGTCCATGCAGAATGCAGGAACTGTGGATGCTAGAAGAATTTATTAAGGCTGTTACTTTAATGAGTTAAAATTCCTCAGAAGGTTTGCATAGCTAATAATGGCCCAAGACAGAGTTAATACAAACAACTCTTCTGTGTTGAAAACAAAACAAACAGGACTCTTTGACCTTGAGCAAGCCTAAGGAGTGAGAACAGTTTTCATTGCAACTTGAGATTTAGAGTAAGTTGAGAAAGAAGTCAAGCATCAATGAGCTGTGTATCAAAGTGTGCTTTAGGATGACCAAAAGGCTCTCCATTTTTTTCTGCTTGAAACAAATGATTGATTAAATGTAGTTTTTTACAATGAACTTAATATTGTGGTTGAAAAATAAGATATAAATGATAAAATAAATTTTTTATTTACCAGTCACTAAATTGCAAGGAATGTAATAGATATTTCACAGGAAGGGAAATTCAAATAGTCTTTTAAACATACAAAAAGTTGCTCAATCTTTTAATATGAGAAGTGCACTAACATTTCCATGAGATATTGACATCTACCTATCAGACTGGCAGAAGCACACACGTTCAGCTAAAGTCTGCAGAAATACATAATTGGTGGGAATGCAAACTAGCACAATTCTGAAGGGGTTGTTTGAGCCATATCTGTCAAAATCATAAGTTCACATACTCTGATAAGCAGATCTACATTGAAGAATTTATTTTATTTTTTTATTATTTTTTAAATTTTATTTTTATATTCCCCATACAATTGCAACCCCCTTATTTTGACCCCCAACCCTCCTTTCCCTGCCCCCCAACCCCCATAGTGTGTCTCTGATTCATAGTTGTTTGTTGATTTTGAATTTTTCTTTCTTATAGTTATTCTTTTTCCTGGTCCCTTATTTAAGTTTTCTAGATTCCTGCTATGAGTGAGACCCAGTATTTTTCTTTTTCTTTCTGGCTTATTTCGCTGAGCATGATCCCTTCCAGCTCCATCCATGTTGCTGCAAATTGCATGTGTTTATCTTTTTAGAATGCTGAGTAATATTCCATGGTGTATATGTACCACATCTTACATTGAAGAATTTATCTTGTAGATGTACTCACATTCCAAGTGGGGGAAGATATAAAGGCATATTCACTGCAGTCATTGCTTACAGTAGCAAAAAGTATCCTGAGCAACCTCAATATCTGTCAATAGGAAGGATGGATATATAATTGATGCTCTGTCCATGGAATGATACACTATGGAGCCATTTAAACATATGAGAGAGCTCTATGTTTTTATGTTTTCTGTTATTACGAGCCCATCTCCGAAATTCAGTGAAAAAATCAAATCGCATTCCTGTATGTTTCTTCTTCTCCAATTGTGTAACAACAACTTCAATAATACTAAGTGCATGTGCTTGTATATGCATGGACTCTATCTTTGGAAGGATACACGAAAACTAGTAACAGTAGTTGCCTCTGGGAAGAGAGGGGAACTGAGCGGCTAGGAGAGCCTACCATACCACCTCTTACCTTGTGAATTTTATTACATGCACAAATATCACCCATCCAAATATAACTCAATAACTTTTAAGAAAACAACTATCACCTGTATAGACATTTGAAAATGATTTTTATTTAATTCATGGAAACATTATATTCTGTAGTTCTAAGTTACTTGACAGCAGCATAGACATTAACTTTTTAATTTTTTTTTTCTTATTGACTTTATTTTTTAGAGCAGCTGTATGTTTACAGAAAAACTGAGCAAGGAAGACTGAGATTTCCCACCTATACATACCTCCTCCGTTGGCAACATCCCAAACCAAAATATTTGTTACAATTGATGAACCTGTATTGGCACATCATTATCACCCAAAGTCCGAGGTTGACATTAGAGTTCACTCTTCTCAGTGTACATGCTATGGGTTTGGAAAAATGTAGTATGACGTATATCTACCATACCATATCATACAGAATAGTTTCACTGCCCTAAAAATCTTCCATGCTCCACCTATTCACCTAATACCCTCTACAGTTTTGTCTTTTTAAGAGTATTATGTATTAGAATCATAGTACATAGTCTTTTTTTTTTTTGAGACATTTAAAAAAAGATTGATTTATGCATACAAGAGCTGGGGTGTAGGCCAGAGGAGCAGAGGGATGAGAGGATTCACCAGAGACAGAGTGGGGAGCAGAACAGGCAGATTGACTGAAATACACCACTGAGGGAAGCAGCCAGCGAGAAATGAGAGGTCTGCTGGGCCATGTGGGTCACCTCCATGGCCAGGGATCCAGCTTGTGCTGCAGTGGCTGCGGATTGCTTCATAGTGCTGAGGCTTAACCTCTTGAGCCACCGGGGAGACCCTATATAGCTTTTTAAATTAACTTCTTTCCCTTAACAATATGCATTTAAATTTCTTCCATCTGTTTTCCTGACTTAATGTCTCCTTTTCTTTTAGCAATGAGTAATATTCCATTGCCTGGATGTACCACAGTTTGCTACCTATTCACCTGCTGAAGGACATCTCAGTTGTTTCCAAGTTTCAGCACTTATGCATGCAGCTGATATAAATATTTGTATGCAGGTTTCTTTGTGGACATAAGTTTTCAACTCCTTTGGGTAGATACCAGTAGGAGGACAATCATTTGTTTAAAAGTATGTTTAGTTTTATAAGAAGTTGCCAAACTGTCTTCCAGAGTGGCTGCGCCGTCATTTTGTATTCCCTTCAGCAATGAATGAGAGCCTCCGTTGTTCCACAGCCTTTGTCAGCCTCTGGTGTTGTCGGTATTATGGATTTTTGGTCATTCTGCTAGGTGTGCAGCACTACCTCTTTGTTTTAATTTGTACTTCCTTTGATGGCATAGGAAGTGGAGCAGTATATTTGCTATCAGTGTATCTTCTTTGGTGAGGTGTCCATTAAGGTATTCTGCCCAGTTTTTAGTCATATTGTTCATTTTCCTATTGTTGAGTTTCAAAAATTCTTTGTAGGGCCTCCCTGGTGGCGCAGGGGGTTAAGCATCAGCACCATGAAGCTATCCGCAGCCATTGCAGCACATGTTCCATCCCTCTCCAGGAAGATACCCACACGACACAGCAGACCTCTCCTGTCTTGCCTGCTGCTCCCCTCAGCAGTGTATTTCAGAGGATCTGCCTGTTCTGTTCCCCACTCTGTCTCTGGTGAATCTTCTCGCTCCCTGCATCTCTGGCCTACACCCCAGCTCTTGTATGCATAAATAAATATATCTTTAAAAGAAAAAAAGTATTTTATCAGCTGTGTTTTTTGCAAATATTTTCTTCTAGCTTGTGGCCTGCACACTTTTGAAAAAAATGAATGTCACCTTTAAAGACTGATCAGAAATTAGAACTATCAAATGGCTGAACTACTTCATTAATAAAAAGATAAATCTTAATTATTTTCCCTTTATAAATGACTCTTTGTTGTCAGCACAGCTATTTCTGGTTGCTTTCCTTGAGCTCTTTGCAGTAAAGAAATCTAACAAGTCATGAATAAGTACATGGAAATACCGACTATGGGTTTATGTTTAAACTCCTCTTAAAATACGAACTAATTTGTGTAAAGGTTAAAAGGACTTATTCTTCTGTAATTTGTAATCTCCCAGTTTCTTTGTGATGTATTTCACCAGCTATTTTTCCAAGAAATGCATGTGAAGTGAGAACAAATGAATCAGAATAATTTACTGTACCAGAGAAAATATTTCCATTTGACAGAATCATCTATTACTTACGCAAATGTGCTTCAGAAAGCAGGATGTATTACCCTCTCCTTTTATGTTCTTGACATGGCACCTTCTAATATTACTCTATAACTATTGAGTTTTCATACAGAAAAGGAAACACTGTGGTGTTCCCCATTATAAGTCCAAATCATGCTATTCTAGGTTGAAGGAAAGGACTCGATCATCTAACACCTCCATCAGTTGGGTTCTAGACCTCTGTTGCTATGTTATTAGAACACACTGTTCTAATAATACACTGAGAGGTACCTCTGGCCTGTCCTCTCTTAGGTTACAATCCTGCCTATTAGCTTCTTGAGTGAAAGTATATCATCAGGTATCTTTCTATCTCTCAGAATATCTTGAACTAACTCAACAGATCTATCAAGCAGGACTTTTTTGTAATCTATAATTATTTTTTTAATTTACATCTTTTTTAAAAAACAATTTATGCATACAAGAGCTGGGTACAGGCCAGAGGCGCTGGGGGTGGGGGGCGAGAGGACTCACCAGAGACAGAGTGGGGAACAGAACAGGCAGACGGACTGAATACACTGCTGAGGGGAGCAGCGGGGGAGACAGGAGAGGTCTGCTGCACCATGTGGGTAGCTCCCTGGCCAGGGATCGAACTCGTGCAGCAGTGGCTGTGGATACCTTCATAGGTTGCATCTTAACCTTTACGCCATCAGGAAGGCCCCCTTAATTTGCATCTTTTATATCATTGTGTATTCCCTGTAAAATTCCCACCACCAGTTCACCAGTGAACCATTACCATAGTGTTTTGTGCTCCTCTCTCCCATTTTGATCCCACTTCCTCCCCCTCCCTCGCAGAATGTCTCTTATTTATAGTTGCCTGCGAGGTTGTTGTTTTATTATTTTTATTTTTTTTAAAGATTTATTTATTTATACAAGAACTGGGGTACAGTCAGAGGCGCAGGAGGGTGAGAGAATTCACCAGAGACAGAGTGGGGAGCAGAACAGGCAGACTGACAAAGTATACTGCTGAGGGGAACAGTGGGTGAGACAGGAGAGGTCTGCTGGGCCATGTGGGTCAGCAACCTGGCCAGGGATTGAACTCATGCTGCAGTGGCTGCAGATAGCTTCATAGTGCTGAGACATAACCCTTTGTGCCACCACGGAGGCCCCAAAATTTCATTTTCTAACCAAGCATGTTGCAGTGGCATTTTCATCCTACAGGAGCAGAAATGTATCAGAAATGCCCTTTCTTGGGTAGCCCGCAGCTGGAAATTTTGCACAAGTTTGGAGCAGAAATACTGCAAAGAGTATTTCTGATGCTTTTATTCAACTTTCAATCTTTCTGTAGGTTTGAAATTTTTATAATAAAAAGTTAGAGGTCAAGAGCAATTTCTCTCCCTGAGGAGGAATTAAACCACTGGCATTTAGAATAACATTCCCCTCTTTCCGGCTACAATTACAAACATCTCTCAGTACCTCCCTGTGTGAGGTAAGGTAAGTATTTTGTCATCTTCTATTAATAGGGAGGGATTCTGAGTCACATAAGGCCTAAGTGATTTTTCTAGCCCCAGAAATAAGAGGAATACTAGGCAGGATGATATTATTTTAGGAACTGGACAGTTGTGTGGTACAGCATCATTTTCTTGGATAATTGCAAATTGCTTTCTAATTGGTTTTCCTGCCCCCAGTTTCTCTCTCCTCCAGTCTACTCACTGCTTTATTACCAGAATCATATTCTGAAATCATGTCACACCCCTATATAAATATCTTTGATGACTTCTCACTGCCTAAGGAAAAATTCCAAACTCCTTAGCTTGACATCCAAAGCCCATTTCCATCCTGCTTACACACCCTGTGTTCTGTGTCTCTCTGCACACTCCACACTGCTCTCCCACACTCCAGGCCATGCTAACCTCCGCCCAAGCTGTCTCTCTAGCCTACAGTGCCATTCTCCTCTCCCTTTGGGGTGGGCGAGAGACGGGGAATCAGCTTATCCTAGAGGGACCAAATCAGATACGATCTTCTGGATGCTTTGCAGCATCCGAGAACCATTTTCTCCTGTTCCCTAGCACCTCTTTTCTATAGCAATCACTACATCTACCTTGGTTCATTCTAGCTACCTGGGCACGTGTATGTCCTTCCCCATCAGACTTATTTTGGGGACCACAGGGCCTGAATAGTACTCACTTCCATATGGTCCAGCAGGCTTTTCTTTTTTCTTTAAATTTCTTTATATTTCTTTATGCATACAAGAACTGGGGTGTAGGTTAGAGGTGCAGGGTGGGGGGTAAGAGGATTCACCAGAGACAGAGTGGGGAGCAGAACAGGTAGATCTACTGACATACACTGCTGAGGGGAGTAGCTGATGAGACAGAAGAGGTCTGCTGCACCCTGTGAGTCAGCTCCCTAGCGGGGAATTGAACTCATGCTGCAGATAGCTTGATAGTGCTGAGACTTAACCCCTTGCGGCACCAGGGTGGATTCCCCAGCCAGCTTTTCAGTTCAAAACACACAAGGGTACTCACTGAACAATGCCATTATCAAAAGAAATCTTCCTCCAGGCAAACCCACAGGCAGATCTGGGTATAGTTCCAGGCCTCCTGAAAAGATATCAGCATATGTGCTGGATTGAGAGTTGAGCTTTCAAGGACAAGCAGATTGTTATGTTTAACATCGTGCTTTCCTGTTAATGAAGCTCTGACATTTGTGGGTAAAGTGTATTACTTGATTCATCCTTCAGGTGAACTTCAGGAAAATTTCTATACTAGCTGATGAGAGCTGATATGCTGAGGAATCTAGAGTCTGGAATATGGTTTCTCAGAGTTTCTCAAGGTATGTTCCACCCGGGTAAGTCACTCCTGACTGCTGGACTAAAAGAGAGTTGCCTGCGCCCCTCTGAGCTGGGGTGTGTGTAAATACCTCCAGGTCTTTCCAAAGATTTAATTCTGGGACCCACATGTTTGGCCAAAAACCTTCCTACACAAAGGGATTGATGGGGCGGACAAGTGCTGTGGATCCTTCTAGGTCAACAGTTCCCAGCCAGGTAGCATGATAGAATTCCCAGGAGAACTTGGGAGACATCAGTGCTTGGGATCCACCTTAAAGCAATTCAATCAGAATTACTGGAGATGGGATTTGGCCATCAAAAATTTTGGAAAGCTTTGCTTCTGTGTCGATTTAAAAATTGGATAAATGTCAGATACTTTTGATAAAAATCAGGCCTCTCATGGCTAGAACCCCGAATTTAGGTTACAATCCTCACTATGCCCCAGCTGTAAAAGTAAATCTCATCTCCAACTCAACTAGATGAAAAGATATATTTTAGCAGGAAAGTAATTCACACAAACTGAGTGTGATCAGGGAGCAGGTTTTCTCTTTCCTCCAGAACTTGGACTAAGAGCACCCCACATGAGTGCACCATGCTGAAGGAGAGTCAGCAAGTTTCTCAAATCAAACGTGCAAGGCTGTAGTCTCTGGGGGCAGGATCCTGGGGGAAGTGAGGCTCACAAGCTCCAGTGTTGGAACCTAGGAGCTGGGGGCTTCCTTGCACGCGTGGGCTGTCTGCCTTCTCATGTCTGGGTCAAGCAGGATCCACAGGGTCCTGGCACACCCCACCTAACAATCATATCCTCAGTGCCACCAATTCAGCAATTTCTTAACATCTTTTATGCTAAACTCAAACCAGCCTTCCCTCAGATCAGGTATTGATTCATATTAAAGAATGTCATGGTGAATTATCCACCCCGAAAGCATTACAATACTACAGCATTTATATTGGATTACTTCAAACTAAATCACCATACAGGTGATATAACAAAAGGGCTTTATCCCTGGAAAACTGGTTAGGTAAGTTGGGAGGGAGAAGAGGGGTCATGTCTTAGCAAGGGTTTATTTTATTTATTTATTTTAAAGATTTATTTATTTATGCATACAAGAGCTGGGGTACAGGCCAGAGGTGCGGGGGCTGAGAGAACTCACCAGAGATAGAGTGGGTAACAGAACAGGCAGATTGACCAAAGTACACTGCTGAGGGGAGCAGCGGGCGAGACAGGAGAGGTCTGCTACACCATGTGGGTAGCTCCCTGGCCAGCCAGGGATCAAACTTGTGCTGCAGAGGCTGCGAATTGCTTCATAGTGCAGTGCTTAATCCCTTGCGCCACCAGGGAGGCCCTGTCTTAGCAAGGGTTTAGACTGGGGTTTGGGTAAAGAATGTAAAATTTCTGGTGGGTCTAGAAAAATGTGATGAATTTATACCAAAAGATGAACATGTGTTAGTCATTTTATAAAAATAACCTTGGAATATTGCATGTGCAAAAATTACTATAGAAGCTGTGCTAAGCAGGTGGTCGATTTACTTAAGGCTGGATCTGTTGCTACCCTGTGGCCTCAAGCTACAACCCACCCCATCTGAAAACCTCCTGCTGGGCAAGAACTCAGAAGGAGGAAGAAAATTCCTGCAAGATGAGATTTCTTAGATGCAGGGTTCTTTAAAAGCTTGAGGACCCAGTAATAATTGGGTGCCCCACCAGCTAAAGTGAACCCAGATCAGGGGCCTCCCTGGTAGTGCAGGGGTTTAAGTCTCAGCACTGTGAAGCTATCCGCAACTCCTGCAGCACAAGTTCTATCCCTGGCCAGGGAGGTGACCCACATGGCGCATCATACCTCACCTGGCTCGCCTGCTGCTCTCCTCAGCAGTGTATTTCAGTCAGTCTGCCTGTTCTGCTCCCCACTTTGTCTCTGGTGAATCCTCTCACCCCTCACACCTCTGGCCTGTACCCCAGTTCTTGTATGCATAAATTAATAAATCTAAAAAAGAAAAATAAAGTGAACCCAGATAACTGAGAGATGACGGTTACACTGCTGAGGCCAGGAGACTTCCAAAACCCCTTCTTGCAGAACCTGCAGTCAACAGGAAGTTTATGAGCTGGCAATCCTGGAGGGACTGCTGCTTCAGCAGGCAAGTCCTAGATTGCCGGGAAATCCCTCCAAAGCAGGCAGCCCTCCTAAAAATCCTGGCTTATCCAAGTCTCAGCACATAGAGAGACTCCATGATTTCTGGGCTGCTGACATCAAGAACCAAAATTGGTGGTAGAGCAATGGACTCTTTTCTTTGAAAAATTTCTTCAAAATCTTGTATGGATTGTTTTTCTATTCCCAAGAACCAAACTGTTTTTCATGAGCCAATTCCAAAGTCAATAAACATATGAACTTTGTGTATATGTACATGTTTTGTCTGTGCATAGTAATGAAAACAGGTCACTACAAGTGAATTGTTACTGTTTGGGGGACTGTTTCTACTCCTTTACAAATGCAACTCCCTTATTATAATAGTCCTGTGATATGGTATCCCCATTTAGCGGATGAGGAAGCTGAGGCATAGGGAGATTGTGTGATTTCCCGAGTCACATAGCTAGGTAGTAGCTGAGCCAAGATTAGAGCCCAGGTTGTTTGACTTCAGAACTCCCAGTTCTGACCAGCAAGATAAAACCTAACCAGTAATGCAGAAGTTGCCATTTTATAACAGGCAGATCTCATAATAGGCTGCGTGAAGTCATGCGTTAGGGCCACTTTTATCAAGTAGGGAGCAGAGTGTTTTAAAGAGGCTTTGAAGGGACTGAGATGTGAGCTTGGGTTCCAGTGTAATTACCTGCCATTTGAGCTCAGCCTTCCTTGCTATGAAATCGTGGGCATAATGTACCTACTCACAGAGCCAGATGGTAGCCAGATTTCACAAACACAAAGCTTGGTGTAGAATAGATTGCAGCCAGTGTGTTAGTGTCCTATTATATCCAAATACAACTTTTGTAATTAACCCTGCAAATGGCCAAAAGCAGCAATGAGGGCAGGGTCCTACCAGTATATTAATTATTTTTTTAAAGATTTATTTATTTATGCATACAAGAACTGGGGTACAGGCCAGAGGTGCTGGGGGGTGAGAGGATTCACCAGAGACAGAGTGGGGAACAGAACAGGTGGACTGACTGAAATACACTGCTGAGGGGAGCAGAAGGTGAGCGAGACAGGAGAGGTCTGCCGTGCTATGTGGGTTGCTCCCTGGCCGGAGATCAAACTCATGCTGCAGTGGCTGTGGATACCTTCATAGTGCTGCGACTTAACCCTTTGTGCCCCAGGGAGGCCCTGCCAGTATATTCTTGGAGGATCTCAGCTTTGATAACTGAGCTAAAGCATTCTTGATATATGGACACACATTGTCATTTCCACACACATTGTCATTTCCATCGATTGCTGTGGCAAAATAGGCTGGCAGGAAGTAGGACCTACTTAGAAAAATAATTAGTTCTTACACAACAGGTATTTGAACTGCTCACACCTGCGTAAATAGAGGAATACAAGATGAGGAGAAAAGTCACCAGAGGAAATGGTTCACACAAGGAGGCACAGAGCAAACAGTCTGTGTCAATGCAGTATGGCTTAGTGCCCAGGAAGCTGCACCCATGAACTTTATGACATGACTTGGGAAAGTTCTGGAAAGATGAATACATAAGGTCCCTCACCTCCCTGGAAGTCAACGTAAAACTCATTTCCCACTAGGGGTCATTGCTGGAGCTTTAGAAAGAGGAAGCAAAGGACAGGCGGAAAAAATCAATGAATGGCTTCCTACTGGAAGGAAAGGGACTAAAGGTTCTGAAGAAGAAATCAACATTGTTATCTTTAAATGAATTTCATTGCTAGACACTGTCTAGCTTCAAAAGAATATTCTAGATAAAGTCTTTGTGGGATCCTGAATGTAAATCAAAGTGCATTCCATCAGGTGATGGGAAACAGAAAGACAACAAAGACTGGGATTTTTTAAAAGCTTAGCCTGATTAGGGCCAAAGTCTTAATTTCACGGTAGTTTATACTTATCTTCAGGTCTGGCCATCTTTACAAGGTGTGAAAATGCCATGTCCTTTACAGGAAGTCCCAGGCCCTCCCCAGATGTGATGTGGTTGCGGTGCTGCTGCTTGACCACATATGCCCCCCTCGAACCTAAGCTGCCTTTTCCTACACCCCTGCACTGGCTGGGAAAATCATTAACCTGAGCCTCCTCCCTCCGCACAGGCTGCATGGAGCTGCCGGTTGAGAAGCAGCTTGATTACAAAGCAGAGTGCACAGCTATGGTGGTATTTTAATATGGGGCTCCTATTTGAAACTGCCTTCGGCTTTCCTTTTTTTTTTTTTTGAAGATTTATTTATTTATGCATACAAGAGCTGGGGTACAGGGCAGAGGTGCTGGGGGGGGGGTGAGAGGTTTCACCGGAAATAGAGTGGGGAACAGAACAGGAGGATCTACTGAAATACACTGCTGAGGGGAGCAGCAGGTGAGACAGGAGAGGTCTGCTGCGCCATGTGGGTTAGGTCCCTGGCCAGGGATTGAACTCGTGCTGCAGTGGCTGCCAATAGCTTCATAGTGTTGCAACTTAACCCCTTGTGCCACCAGGGAGGCCCCGCTTTTGGTATTCTCTGTGGGCAGCTGTCCCTGTGTAGGACCTGTCTTATTCTTAGTCCCTCTGGCCTCTAAGGTGCGGTAGTTCCTGCTATGCAGACATTACTTGCTGTCTGTCATGTCAGGAGACCTCAGCATGAGTTCTGTGAACCCCGTATGCCCTTTATTTTAAGTCAGACGACTGCAAACATATTTTTAAAATCAGTTAAATTCTGTTCAGAGGTTTAGCTGTTCTGAACGCCACTGGCTGTCACTTTGAAGGCCTCCCTGGGACCACTAAAAGTGAATCTCGAATATGCCACAAGACTACATTTTAAGTCTGACCTTCCAAAACACTCTCCCTTATTAGCTGAAAATCTGTTTAACTATTTTCACATGATGTGTTAATAAATGTCACTGTATTCACAGAGACTACTCCAAGAAGATTAAAGGTCATACTAACCCTTTGGGTCTCATAAATCACAAGAGTCCGCAAACACAGTAAAGTTCCTGCAAGATTGGAATGTTTCTTC